TATTTTATTTTGGTTTTTAATTTTTGGAGACAGGGTTTTTTTGTGTGTGTGTAGCCCTGGTTGTCCTGAAACTTAATTTGTAGACCAGGCTGTCTTTGAACTCACAGAGATCCGACCACCTCTGAGTTCTGGATTAAAGGTATATGCAGCCACTACCCAGCTAGGATTGCTTAATTATGCATACCTCCTCCTTTCTATTTAGACCTAAACTTCCTGTCAGTGGCCCAAAGACGGAGTGGACTGGTGATATACTTCAGACTGATAGACAACTTTAGTGGCCTAGAAGGCAAGCCTCTGCGAATGCCTGGGAAAGACTATCTTAGACAACTGAAGTGAGAAACTTCAGCTTACCTGTGGGTGGCGCTATCCCCACGGGCTGGGGTCCCAGACTTCACAAAACGGAGAAAATGAGCTGAGCGCAGGCTTAAATTTCTACCCGCCCCTCCCTCTCAGCCACTCCTGAACTTAAGGAACAGAATTGGTGGAAGGGCTCTCCAACAGGTCTGAACGGCAAACATGACTGCACCTGGAGGTCTTGCCCACACACCTTCCCTCTCCCTTGCTAAAGCATTAGATGACATTTCTGAAGCTAGCCACCAAGGTCTGTTCTTTTATTTTGGCCACTTCCCTGTGCTTGACTAAATCACCAAGGTTCTCCAGCAATCAAAATTCCTTATTTGACTACGCTGGCTAACATGTTCAATCAGGATTTACTAATTCATCCTAACACAGACTTCTATTTTTTTTCTCCTTTAAAAACCATGCCTGTAGAAACACCTGTTGCTGTCTTGTCTGACCCAGAAGCAACCCCCACCCCCACCTCCAGAGTAATAAGTCTCCATTGTGCTAAGAATTTGGTGTCTGGGTGTGTTCTGTGCTGACTTCTTAGGCCAGCTAACACTCACTGGGGATGAGGGGAAGGAAGAGAATTTAAACATAGTTGTTAGGATCTAAAAATTGTTGTTGTTGTTGTTGTTGTTATTCTTTCCCTGAGGCTTAACGCTCTCAGAAAAGGGAGAGAAAGGGGGGGAGATGAAATTAATTGTGAAGATTTGAGATAAGCTCCTGTCTTTACCTCAGAAATAAAATTCTCCTCTGCCAGACAGTGTGCAGCCACTGCATCTGGCGTGATTCCATTTCCTTCATCTCCAAACTAAGCTGTCAAAATGCCAAGCAGAGGAAGGGAAGCCTGGGGCACACTGCAACCAAGGCACTTTTATTTTAAGGACATGATGGTGAGCGTTTGTGGCGACAGGGGTTTCTGAAGGCTGACGCTGGAGGATCAAGGTCATCCTAGGCTACCTTTGTTGAGACCTTCATCTCAACAAAACAGCAAAACAGGATGCTGGGACTTAGCTGGTGAAGTGCTTGCCTGGCACACACAAAGCTCTGGGTTAGAACCTTCTCCCTCCCCCCTGCCCCCAACACACACACACACAGGATATAAAGGAGTGGTTCTCAACCTGAGGGGTCAAATGACCCTTTCACAAGGGTCACCTAAGGCCATCAGAAAACACAGATAATTCCGTTACGATTCATAACAGTAGCAAGATTACAGTTATGAGGTAGTAATAAAAATAATTTCATGGTGGGGGGGTCTCCACAACATGAGGAACTGCATTAAAGGACCGAAGCGACAGGAAGGTTAAGAACCGCTGACATAAAGGTAGGCATGGTGTGTCATGCTTATAACTCAGTACTTTGAAGCAGGAGGATCAGAAGTTAAAGGCCTTCCTTCACCACAGTTGGAGGCAGGCCAGGGAAACACAAGACCACGTAGCTATAAAACGCTACAACATCCATTGTTTACCCTATGTTTCCCTAGCTTGACTCTCAGCCTTGTGAAAACAGAAGACAATGAGCTCTGCTTTCTGTGTGGAACATGACCCATGGGGCTTCCTTGACCACAGCAGAATGTTTATCCAGCTGGTCAGGATCTGGGGCAGTGAGCAAGCTTCTTAGCCTCTTCCTAGGAAGTCCACCGTGGAGAAGCTGCTAACTGGCAGGACATTCCCACCTGCTCTACTTCCCACAAGTGGACTAGCTTCTCTCAATATGTGGGTGAAGATGGCAGAGGTGAAGGATCTCTGAGGCAGCTCAAATCACCAGCTGAAATCACTAATCCTTCACCATGCCTGTACTAGCTACTGACCTGTCTTTACTAGCTACTGACCCTTTGATGTCAGAAAGTCACCTATGTATACACCAAGTTTCCTTTGAAATAGGTCATATATTCCTGAGAGCAGCAGCCTTAGCAAGCTCAGGGGCTGTGGTTTAATCCAAGTGCCTCTAAAGTTAGTGTGAAACCCAAGCCTAGGGCTAGGGATACAGTTCAGTTTGTAAAGTGCTTGCCTAGTAGTATGAGGCTCTTGGTTCCATCCCCGGAACTATAGAAACCAGGTCCACCCCTATAATCGCAGCACTCAAGAAGTAGATGCAGGAAGATCAGAAGTTCAAGGTAGTCCTTGGCTACATTACAAGTTTAAGGCCAGCCTGGGCTACATGAGATTCTGTCTTGTCAGGAGCAGCCCTGCTTATACACTGAAGGCCTAAAATCAGCCATAGGTCTAAAATCAGCAATAGGCCTGACATACATGCCTGCTAGCACCAAGTCTTGGGTCTCTGTGGAAAAACACTGAAACAGATGGCTATAAGCTATTGTAAACAAGCAGCTTTGGTGGAAAATTGTCAGGCTGAATACATAGACCTTGTAGATAGGTAGCCTTAGTGGATAGTACCAAATTAGATAAGGACAAATGAATCATAGGCGGAGTCATAGTGATCTGTCCCCTGAACCTTCACCCAGTTGATATTCTGTTCTGGAAGATATCTGTACTCCCCCTGAACACCTACGCTCCTGCATCATCCCCTTCCCCACATCCTGCCTTTTTGTGTTTATAACCCGTGTGTAAAAAAGTAAAAATTATGGTTTGATCAGCCTATAGACAAGCTGTGTTCCTTGTGTTCACCTGTTTTTCCTCATTCTCTCTTAGGTGATCTCCCCAGACCCTGTTTAATGTCCTGCTGGACAGGACACTGTCTCAAAAAAAAAAAAAAAGGCAAAGCTGGAGTTTGCCCACTGAATCTGTAGTTCTTATGTACACATCAGCTATATGAACCACTAGACAGAACTCCACACAGAAGCATTCTAACCTCCTTGGATCAAGACCAATCTATGATTCCAGGTCTTCTTGGTGATTTTACATACAAGAGATCCCTGATAAACCCAGCCAGGGTCCCGTGAGATAAAACACGGCAGTTTCTGTTGAGATTTCTATATTAGTTTGTAACTTCCCCCTGCCCCCCCCCAAAAAAAAAGTTCAAATAAACTCAGAGAGCACAACATAAACTGTGGGACTGGAACCTAGGAGGGCTTGCCAGTGGTGGCCTCCAAACACAGCAAGCCACAGAGGCCACAAAAGCTCAAGGTGAGGCGCATTCAGTGTACGCTCGCTAGGAGTGTGTCTCAGCCCAGTGAGGCAGAAAACCCACGTGCAACAAAGTAAAAGGAAACAATTTATTTCTCACAAATAAAGCCCACAGGACAATACAAGCCTAGATCTCATTGTGAGTCAGTCAGCCAAGGCTCAGATAGCAAGCCGCCTGGGGCAAGAAGTAACAGTGCAAGCTACCTCAGCTAAATTACAGATGCATGTAGTCCCCAAAGGCAGCCTTCAGGAGGTCTTTATCTAGGTGGTCACAAGTCACTAACTTAATGTTAAAGGGCATTGGGTTCCTAGGGAAGACTTAGATGAAACTCAAATGGCTTGTGGGGCCAGAGAACAACATCAGATGCCATTTCTCAAGTGCCACCTACTTTTTGTAATATGGGGCCTTTCACTGGCTTAGAACTCACCAAGTAAAACAGGTGAGCTGGCCATGGAACCCAACACCTCAGCCTGTCTCTACTTCAAGAGCACCAGGATTGGAAGCAACCACCATCACATCCAATACTTTTTGCACGGGTTCTGGAAGTCATGTGTGTAAGGCAAGCATTTACCAACTGAGGCATCTTCCTGCCCCCAGCTATTTCTTAAACTATGGCTCCATATCCCAAATGAGGTCATGTAACCGAATGTATATGTCAGAGACAATAGTAAAAGGTTCTTGAGTACAAAATGATGTGTTTTTTTAATTCAAAATCAAGTGTATAATGAAGCCAGGTATTTCTGGCAGTGAGCTGTGTTGTGTCACGTGACTTTGCTGCAGCCTTGGTTGGTTCTGAGCACACACCATGCCAACTGCCCTGGAGTATGTGACTTGGGATCATGTCATACAACCTAAAATACAGCTCAGGACTGAGACTACTAGCTGGTAAGAACTACAGTGTTTTTATACTACATAGAGAAGTTCCTGCTCTTATAGAAACCTAGTAATTATGGCAAACAAATTTTTGTTTTGTTTTGTTTTTCGAGACAGGGTTTCTCTGTTTAGCCCCGGCTGTCCTGGAACTCACTCTGTAGACCAGGCTGGCCTTGAACTCAGAAATCCGCCTGCCTCTGCCTCCGAAGTGCTGGGATTAAAGGCGCTGGGATTAAAGGCGCGTGCCACTACTGCCCACCACCTCGAATATTTAGGGCTCACAAGTCTTGGAAACCTCAGTCAGACGGCCAGGGCTAGGTTTCCTAGTGATCTAAAAACCGGGATGTTAGAAATGAGCAAAAGCCCACTTGTCTCACTAGGACAGCTGAGACGCGCTCCCAACAAGATACCACTTTGCCTCCACACCTCGCGGCCACCCTCCAGCTACAGCAGGAGTTGGCGCACGGCCACAAACCGCACTTTCGCCATATCCTAGGAGGCCTCCAAAAAAAGCAGAAATAAATTTCTTTCCATAAACACAAATTACCATCGCAAGATAAAACTGGACAACAGAAACTAAGGTCTACATATTTTTCAGCTGTTCAAACGGCTTGTGGCCGTGGCGAATCTACCACTATTACTTCCGGAAAGGGCGGACTTCTTACCGGAAGTTGCGTTTCCTCCATTTTGTGGCTCGCTATGGCGGCTGTGTTGAAGTTGCGAAGAGGATGCGGCGCCTTTGACTGAGGGGGTAGGCCAGGCGAGGCATCAGGGACGTTGTTCGGCACAGCAGCAGACCGGCCCGGACGTCGGGGACGCTGTCATGTACGGTGCCGGCGGGGGCCGCGCCAAGCCAGAGAGGAAGGGCGTAGTGAAGGAGGAGGCCGGGCCCGGCGGCACCGGCACTGGGGGCAACCGGGTGGAGCTTCTGGTGTTCGGCTATGCCTGCAAGTTGTTCCGCGACGACGAGCGGGCTTTGGCCCAAGAACAGGGACAGCACCTCATCCCCTGGATGGGGGACCACAAGATCCTCATCGACAGGTCGGTTCCTCCCCCCACCCGTCGACCCTCCCCTCCCTCGCCCGCTTGATTTCGCCTGATGTTGACTTGATGGCCAGGACCGAAAAGGGGGTTTTGCGGAGCCCGGGGACTCGGGGGCCTCCCTGCCCCCACGTTCCCCGGCGTCCGGGGGGAGGGGACGGTGAAACCGGCCCTAAGGCTCCGGCCAGAGCTGGCGCCGCGCCGCGCCGTCGCCGGAGGGATCGACTCTGCTCCCGCAACCCCTCGAGCCCGGGCTGCTGCTGGCGACTCAGCGCGGTGGAAGCTGCCCGGGCCTCCCGCCCGCGCCGTGGGGCGGGTGCCGCTGTCCCTCCGCTGGCTGTGCGGGAGGGAGCCCGGGAGTGCGCTTTGTTCCTCCGAAGCGCCGCACGCCGAGGCCGTGGGTAGAAGCTTCTTTTGGACCCCGTGAGTTAGCCTGAACCGTCTCTGGCCGGCTTGACTTTTGGCGTCCAGCGAGCCCTTCCCCGCGGTTATGCGACCATTTGACCAACCACGGTAGTTGGTGAAGTTGCTGTCTGTTGGAAGCCGGTCGACCCCGTGCGGACCTTGCTCTTAGGGGTAGCGTTCTTAGAGCTGGTTTCACTGTCTTCTAAAGCTGAAGGGTGGAGCTGGGTTTACCTTTGTGTTGTTTCTTTTCAAATCACACCCACTTAAGGGTGCCCTGAGTTGAGGGTAAAGGGGCGGGAACGTGGATTTCTGAAGGTGTTTGATTTGAAAAGGATGGCATTACATGATTGGGTGGTTTGCTCCCCACCTCTCTTCTCATTTTTCAGTCCCTCTTTCCTTCTCCACCATCCCGGGTTTGGGTATTTGTCCTTCCGTTGGGCAATATTGCTTCTGGGGCCAGGACTGAAAGGCTGTGAGCATCCAATAAGCTGTGGAGTGGTTTTCTCCAAGTGAAGGAAACCCATCGTTTGAGACAAGTAAAACTGGATTCTGCAAAGACTTGGAACTTGCATGACTGTAGGGATTACATCTGAGCTGGCCAGAACGGACACGTTAATGACCAGTAGGCCTTTACGATCCCTTACATCTCCATCTGGGGAGAGATCTAGGAAGAAAGGACTTGTGAAGGGGGTGTTGCAGATCAGATCGGCTCTGGATCTGATGGTCCACTCTGCTGGAATGTGCTATGCCTTTGACCCGCGGTTGATAGCAAGTGATGATGCTTCCCAGGCACTTGTGGTGATGTGTACTGTTAAAAAGTTGGGCAAATGCTAAAACCTCTACTCCATATACAGGTTCCATATCATTCTGTGCATGATTTGAGTTAGGTCTCCCAAAACCGGTGGGGAGCAAACACCACACATGTATATGTGTAATATTTGAAAATAATACATTTGTAAGTTAAGGAGGTTTACATCAAAGTTAAGCAGATTTTGATAATAAAATAAAACCATTGGGGTTCCCAGGAATTTTTGGCCTTTTTCCTGTGGTGTACATTTTCCTTCCTTAATTTGGTTTCCATCACAAAAGTCAACATTGATAAATCATGCAAACTTTGGTTTGTCACTCCACATTCACCTGTGCAACCTAAATTTGAGATTTAAACTTCACTGACTCATTTGTCGTCTGGCAGTTGTACATTGACAGCATCTCCATTGAGTCTTATGTTCAGACATAGCAGAAAGTGCTCTCCTTAGTCCTAAATTTGGTAAAGAGCCCGTTGGTCTTCAACGATGTGTCTTCATCCTGGGACTTAAAGTAAAAAGGGACATACTGATGCTGCGCCTTCCGATGGTTTGGCCATGTTTGCAGTGAACCTCCTTAAACTGCATGTATATGTCACTGTTCCTTTGTATGTGTGTCTCTCTACCACATAACCCAGCACTTCTCTCCTCAGCCAAGTGGCTAGGGGCGAGCCTAGCCAAGATTTTACCTCCAATGGACGCACGTTTCTTTGGTGAAGATCTCTCCTGAGAGTTCGAGACTAGCAGGAAGAAGCGAGGAAATTTCGCCCGTTTGGTTCTGTCGGATAGGTATTTATGGACTCGGTCTGTGTGAATGTAAGCTGTAATATTTAACTACTGAGAACAGATGTTTTGGCAAGTGTTTGGCACTGAATGGTTGACCAAAGCATACATGGTAAGAACTGCTAGCAAGGGGGATACGTTTTCTGCCCTAAAGGACTGTCTGCCTTTAGCTCTAAGTTCTGTTGTGCTGTAGAGAGGTGCTTAGACTTTGTTACGATTACTCCAGTTTAAAAGTAGCTGAGAGATGACTAGTCACGTTAAGTATAAATGTGAAGCTTTGCATTTGTTTTAATATTTTTATTTCATTATTTTAATTGGTAAGTATGTGCATAGAGTGTCACAAGCAACCAGCATGGGTGTAGACTTCCCTCCAGTGACCAGCGTGTTCCCATTACAGATACGACGGGCGTGGTCACCTGCATGACCTCTCTGCATACGATGCTGAGTACGCCACGTGGAACCGAGACTACCAGCTGTCGGAAGAGGAGGCGCGGGTAGAGGCGCTGTGTGATGAAGAGAGGTATTTAGCCTTGCATACGGACTTGCTTGAGGAGGAGGCAAGGCAAGGTACTGCTCAAGAAAGACTTACTTCAGCCACACCTTTTTAAAATTTTAAGTGTTTAAAAAGTTACTCCGTTCATTTTTATACTCACTCTTTCTGATATTATCTTGACAGTACCCAGTGGATTGGAAAAACAGGAGTCTTTGCGTTCTGAGAGGACCTCAGGATAGTTTATATGTAGAGCCACAGAGAATTTTCCCAGCTTTTGAGGGCAGACTGGGATTTGAAAAAAAAAAACCAAAAACAAAACAAAAAACAAAACTCTTTAACTGTTCTTCTTTAACAGTATCGTATGAATGAAAATCGATGTTCTTGTCTTTGCCTTAATGATCTTTAATACAATTCTTAATCCTAAAATTTCCTCAGCAGGAAGAAATTTTCCATAAAAGATGTGTATTCTTCTATCTGTGGGTAAACACATACTGGCAAAAAGTACATGCCGATAGATACCAAGTGTTGTTTCCAGAAACATTTTTCCTCAAAAAAAAAGATTGAAAAGGTGTATTGTATGCTTCACTGATAGTAGCTGCACTTTAGAAGTGTATGAAGTTTTTCTCAGTAAACTTCTATTTTTGTTAATAAGATTCTCGTTTTTATTCAAGAGGAAGAATACAAAAGATTGAGTGAAGCACTGGCGGAGGATGGGAACTACAGTGCCGTAGGGTTCACTTACGGCAGTGACTATTACGACCCGTCAGAGCCCACGGAAGAGGAAGAGCCTTTGAAACAGAGAGGTGAGGGGAAGGAAAGCCCATTCCAGGTGGGCAGTGACCACAGCACAGCCGTCTGGGATGCTAGTGAGGGGCCTTCTCTTGTTGAGACTAGGAGCTGAGCTGTGAGCAGAATAGACAGATAGCAGTTTTGACTTTGATTAACTGCCCAGATCCAGAGGCTTCTCGCCTGCTCCTCTTAGGATGGGTCTCACTGAATTCTTACGGGATACTACTTCTGCACTGAACACGCACTCTCCCTGTCTTCGTCATCAGGTCTTGACCAAGGCAGCTCCTATGGGAGAAAGCATTTAGCTGTTTACAGTTTCAGAGGCTTTTAGTCCGTTATCATCATGGGAGCACATCAGCATGCAGACAAGTGCTGGGGCAATGGCCGAGAAGGACATACTGATCCTTAGGCTGAGAGACATGGGCTTTTGAAACTTCACACCTCACCACCAGTGACACACTTCCTCCAAGATCATACCTTCTGATCCTTTTAATTCTCTGAAATGTTATAGGAAGTGGCTTTAAGCCACTTTTTGGTGACTAAGCATTCAAATACATGAGCCTATGGAGGCTACTCTTACTCTGACCACCCCACTTCCATAGTGGGTATCCATTCGGGAATATCAGTTTTGCCTAGCAGTTGTTAATATTCCTAGGTTTCCTATGAGTCTCTTTCTGCATATCCTGTTTCTAGCAGAAGCGTCCAGTGGAAAGACTTCTAAGGGGCTATTGACATGAAAGAAAAGACAAGACTGTTAGTATAACATTAAAGTTTGAAGTCAGTGTCCTCCCTAGGCTAATGTGGCAACTTTGACCATAAAGAAATAGCGCTGTCAAAGCTCCAAGCACTTAGGGTGTAAGCAGAGTCCTTCTGTGAACCCTGAGAGCATCAGTGCCACATAAGCTGTTCTCAATAACGGTGCTGTGACTTCAGACTCCCACACGTTGTTTCCTCACCTCCACACACTGTGCAGCCACACACAAATAACGTATAAATTGGTATTCAGTTGGCCATTGAAGTGTATTTAGTGCCTTAGAATTCAGAAAAGGAGTAGCGTGTAGGACCTTGTCCAATATATCGCAGACAGATGTTAAATGGACATGATAAAAAGAGGTTTAAAAATTTATCTTCATTCTTTTTTTAAGAGGGTAGTTTGGTTGGGAGGAGATGACTTGATTGTTTTACAATTTGGTGATCAGAATAGAATTTTCCAGACTTTGGTTACCTTTGTTACTATCTTGGATCCACAGAAATAGTTGGAGGTGGTTTTGACGCCCGTTAATGCATCTGTCTTAAACAAGAGCCTGGGAGAGGCAGATTTAGCTCAGGTAGAGAAGATCTAGGCTTTATCTGTCCCCAGCATGCTAAGAAAATTACCCAGTTAGCACAGAGCAGACTGAGATAGTAGGTGTATAGTAATGTCAGAGGACACTAATGACTTTAAGATCACTCATCAGGGCTCTAAGGTAAATGAATTAGATGCACGTCTATGAGGATCCATGTGAAAACTGGAGAGTGGTAACAGGAGCCTCTATGGGAGATGGGAGGTAGAGTGAGAGTCCCTGTTCAGTAGCCTAAAGGTTACAGGAACAGCATGTGCACTGTGGCAGGCTCCTGCCCACATTTACACATACAGTCACAGAACATCTACTGAGTGTCTGCTAAGCTTTAAGCATTGTGTCCTGGGGAAGCTGGCCATGCACCAGGGAAGTGAGCTGGGCTTCACTAAAGCAGACAAAGACAGATGTAACAGAAGCCTATGGCCAGAATCCTGGGGTTGAAGAACACCCAGACTGGAGTGCAGATTTCCACCTGACCCAGAAACACGCTCCTGTTGTTGATTCTCCCCCACCTCTGTGGAATCCATGAATGGTGCTGTTCAAAAGATGGAACAGGAAGCTGGAAGGGGTTTCCAGAAGGAGTAGTGCACCAGTACAGAGTCAGGAAAAGCCCACGCTGTGTCCTTGCCTGCTGTTGGTTGGTCATCGTGCTGAGGTTCTTCATTTTTTTTTTTTTAACAGAAAAAAATGAGGCTGAAAACTTGGAAGAAAATGAAGAGCCCTTCATTGCTCCTTTAGGATTGAGTGTCCCATCTGACGTGGAGCTGGTATGTGTGCTTCTTCACTGGCCTCCCCCAGTGCTTTGTTGCTGCTCTTTGTGGTGTGTAAGAGTATGAAGTAAAACTCAGCCGCTGTTTAGATGCTTTGTGCTGCAAGATCATTTGTGAATTGTAGAAAAAAGAGCACAGCCCACTTACCTCTGAAGAAAAATGGGTGCCAGGTGTGGTGGTGCACAGCTGTTGTCTTAGGGCTTGGGAGGCTAAGGCAGGAGGATTGCAAATTCCAAGTCAGCCTAAGTACTCCAGACTGGGACCCTATCTCCTTAAACAAGGGGGTGGGAAGGGGGCTGGAGATTTACTAGGCAAGCCAGGTTCCAGCTGAGATGCCGCCATCTACATACCAATCTGGGAACTGTTGTGCTCAGGGCAGTCTTATGGTCAGCAGAGTTCCTGCTTCTGACTTTGCTATGAGTTAGTTGTAGAGGCACTTGCTCTTTGCCAAACATTCACTGGACACTCTTGGGTCCATGTGATGTGTCCTGGCTGCCCTCCGTGGATGAGGAAAGCAGAGGGAGGGCTGTGTGAATGCACCCTGTCTCTGTTGGTGTTTCATCTGATAAGCTGTTTTATCAGTCCCCTTTAAATTAGGTTTGAAACTGAGCTTCATGTAACCCAGGCTGGCCTCAGACTCAGTGTGTAGCTGAGATTGGCCTTGAGCTCCTGATCCTCTCTCCATCCCCCAAGTGCTGCTTCAGGAGCAAGCATGTGCCTCCAGTAGGCGTGTGCCTGCAGCCCAATGGTTATAAGTCATGTTTGAGAAGGGTTCCTGAGGCTCTGTGTCAGGAAAACGTGTTTTCTTTGACATTATTTTCACTCACTGGCAAGTGTCAAAGGTAAAACTGTTCCAGGTTTTGTGCTTGGCAGTGTAGATCATCAGGTGGACAGGAGACACCATGACTCACCCGCAGCCCCTGTGACACTCTCCACACTGGTGTGGCCACCCTCAGTTCAGCATGGACTTGAGGTTCTTGCTCTTTTCCTGCATCCTGTAAGGGAAGGTGGTGCCTTACCCTCCTTTTGACGTCTTTTACAGATCTGGGTAGAAATTTCTATGTGCTTACTGTTTATGGTTGCTTCCGTCTTTCCTTCTTTTAACTTTTTTGCTTTGGTGAGACCAGGAAATGATTACCTGAAGAGTTAATATTCTAAGTTTTACAGTGTTTAGTTTTGTTTTGCTTTTTTTTTAAAGATTCATTTTAAAGTATACACATCTGTGGGGATTTGTGCACATGAGTGCAGGTTCCCTCAGAGGCCAAAAGAGGGTGTGAAATTCTCTGGAACTGGAGTTGCCTAATGCAGATGGGTGTTGGAGATCAAGCTTGGCTCCCTGGAAGAGCAGGAAGTGTTCTTAATCGATAAGCCATCTTTCCATTCCATATTTGTTGTGATACATAGTGTTTCTGCAATTTCAAAGCAGACTATCCTGTTGAAATTGAGCCTAAAGAACCATTTGCTATATTACCTATATTTTATACTAAATATATTTATTTAACATTAGCTATGTATGCATTTACCTAAGGAGGCCAGAAGGAAACAGAGTTACAGGCAAGTGTGAGCCTGAAGGTGCTGGACTCAAACTTGGATCTTCTTCAAGAACAGTATGTGCTCTTGATGCTGAACCATCTCTCCTGCCTCTGCCCCATCTTTTGAGGTTTATCTTATATACCCTATGTCGGCCTCAAACTTGGGGTCCTCTTTCTTTTATCTCCCAAGTGTGAGGTGGGGTGTGTGTGTATGTGTGTGTGTATAATGTGTATATGTATATATGTGTGTGTGTGTGTACTTCTGCAAATAGAAACTACGAGTCACCCTCAGGTTTAGAAACCATTCACCTTCACTTGAGTGCTGGGGATTGAACTCAGGTCCTCGTGCTTGTGCAACAAGCTCGTTCTCCACTGCGCCTTCTTCTCAGCCCTTTTGTTTTTCACACTAAAGATTTTTTTTAATCTCTGTTCAAATATAAAAACAAAGATACTGTCTTAGGGTTTTCCTGCTGTGAACAGATACCACGACCAAGGCAACTCTTATGAGAACAACATTTAATTGGGGCTGGCTTACAGGTTCAGAGGTTCGGCCCATTATCAAGGCGGGAACATGACAGTGTCCAGACAGCATGGTGCAGGAGGAGCTGAGAGTTCTACGCCTTTGTCTGAAGGCTGCTAGGAGAATACTGACTTCCAGGCAGCTAGGATAAGGGTCCTAAAGCCCTTGGCCACAGTGACACATCTACTCCAACAAGGCTATACCTACTCCCAACAGGTCCATACCTGATAGTGCCACTCCCTGGGCCAAGCATATACAAACCATCATAGGTACAATAGAAAGTTGATGGCTTAGTTCCTGTTACAGGGTTTAACAGCTGTGTAAACATCACTAAGCTGTTTAATAGTTACCATGAACCCACAGACAGTTAAGGGAGCCTTGTTCTGTTCCCACAGTTCTCCAGTATCATGGTTTGAGAGGTCCCTGAATACAGTGCCTGTGGCTCGTAAAAGAAGAGCCTGCTTGAGTTCTTGGCTGAGTGTCTCCTTAGCCTTTCCTCCGTCTGTCTCACTGTCAGGTGTGGCTTTGGGCCTTCATTGAGTAGACGGTAAAACTGTAGCATGGTAATGGCAGTGGACTGGATACTGCCTTTGTGGTGGCAATGGGAAACATTAGCGGGTGGTGTTGGTAGCAGCAGTTCTGGTTGGCGACTAAGCATAGGTGGTGGATCGCTTACGTGGATAGGTGCTGCTGTGGCAGCTGAGGGTGGGAGACCTTGAGCTGGGTTAGAGGTGGGCAAGGAGGCACATGCTCTCGGAGCCCTCGGTTCACACGGAGCTCTTGGGTAGAACCTAGTGAACACAACGCACCTGGGGTCACTGCCTGCTTCCTGCTGCTTCCCTCCCAGTCCTCATGCCGGCATGACTGACTCTCCAGCCCTATCCAAACCTGTGAGCCTGTAGACCCAGGCTCTTCAGATGATCTGACCTGACTTTGGATTTTAGAGGGGGTTGTTTGTTTTGTTTTGTTTGTTTGCTTTGGTTTTGGTTTTTGGTTTCTCTGTGCAGCCCTGGCTGTCCTGGAACTCCCTTTGTAGACCAGGCTGGTCTCAAACTCTCAGAGATCCCCCCACCTCTGCCTCCTGAGTGCTGGGGTTAAAGATTTGACCCACTACTTCTGATTTTGTTTTTTTGTTTTTGTTTTAATGGTACTTTTATGGATGTGTTTTTCTTCTCCAAAGGAAGAAAAACAGAAAACCTGACTGTCTCTTTCCCAGATATCTAAAACCCTGTGTCCTTCTGTGAGTCCCATACATGAGCTAGCCACCTGTTCTGGCTGCAATGTTGCCCTGTGAAACCTTGTAAGGCGAAGTGCGGAGTCCTGTGTTCAGCCCGTCTATTCACTCCCTCCTCAGTCCCAAGACACTAGAGATGGCAAACATGGGTGACTGCACCTAGTGTCATGAGTCTTGAGCTGTGAATGATGTCTTCCAGGTGCTCATGGACTTATGGGCTTCCTTGGGGGTTAACATTGCATTTTACTGGGTTCTGCAACCCACCACTGGTCAGGCCTAGGAGCCCAGAAATTCTGCTGCTTAGCAGGCCTGTTAGAACATGTTCTATAAGAATACAGTGGACACTGGGAAAGGAGAGACAGGACTTATTAGGTGTTGTATGTAACATTTAAGTCTTTCATGGGCCACTTTCTGTGGCCATGGCGTGCCCTAGGCCTGTGCTGGTGTGTCTGTGCTTGTTTGTATTCCTATCTGGTAACCCCAGTCACGTGACATAGGAGAAACCCTGGGCTTTCCTGACTGTTGTCCATTCATCTGTGAAAAAGAAAGGGCCCTCATCTCCCACCTGTGGGTGCTGCTCTAGCACCAGGTCCTGTGTCAGTGTTAGATTCTCCAGATAATTTTCACATGCTGCCGAAGTTCTGTCTCTCTCTCCTTTGTGCCACAGTGTTCTGAAGCTTGGTTTGGGAGAACTTCTTTCCACTTCCAATTGATGGGAGACAGTTACCACATTTCCTGGTAGTTTTTCCATGATTGTGTCTGTCTGTCTGTCCTGTGACTGATCTGGCATTTATTTGGACCTATGGACAGAACATTTCTTGTCTTTCTCACTGGGAAGACTCACAGACTCCTCCCTACTTACTACCTTCCTAAACTGTCCCTTCCTGTTCTGTCTAGAACTTCTCATAGTTCTTGGGAAATCTAATCTTTGGGCTTCCTGTCCTGTGGCTGTCTCTGTCCCACTGCCCAGTTTAGGGCCAAGCTGATGGAGTTTCCAGGGAGAAGGCTCTCAACATAGGACTTAGGCATAGATGAGACCAGAACATTTCCCTTCTGCCATGTAGTCTTTGTGATATGCATACATAACAGGTTGTGGGTTTGAGTTTTTTGTTGTTTGCAGGTGGAGGGGAGTTGTTTGGTTGTTTGTTTGGGCTTGTATGTGATTATTTAGTGCCAGAGTTCAAACCCAGAGCCTTGTGGATGCTAAGCATGTGCTCTGCCATTGAGCTGTACCCCAATCCTTATAGCTATTGTTGATATTGTTGTTTTGTTTTTATTTTATTTTTTGTGACATTGTTGTTTTGTTCTGTTTTTGAAATAGTGTTTTAATATATGGTCTTGGCTAGCCTGGAATTCATAGAGCTCTGCCTGCCGCTGCATTTTGAGTGCTGGAATCAAAAGACACTATGCCAGGCTTACTAAGTATTCAGTAGTGCTGGAATGGTAGTGATGGTTTTAAATGAAAGAGAATGTAAGATCTGCATAGTAAAGATGCAAAGAATGTTGCCTTAGTCTCTGATCCTGTGATAAAGTATCCTGACAGAAGCAGCCTAAGTGGGAAAGGGCTTAAATCTCACACAGTTCTAGGAACAGCCTGTCCTGGCAGGGAAGGCAAGAGGGCAGGAGCTTGAAGCAGCTGTTCACATTGCATCTGTAATCAGAAACAAAGAGGGATGAATGTTGCTGCTGTTCAGCTCTGCTTCTCTACTTACAGTCCAAGATCCAAACCAGGGTGTGGTGCCACCCACAGTGGGCAGGTCTCCCCACTTCTGTTAACAGTAATCAAGATCATCCTCAATAGGCATGCTCAAAGGTCCGTCTGGCAGATGATACTAGATTGTGTCAAGTCGACAGAATTAACCATTATAAATGGCTTTCTCCAGGAGAAATAGTTTTTGTTTGTTTGTTTGTTTTGTTTTGTTTGTTTTTGTTTTTGTTTTTATCCTGGTAGTAGATCATGAGGTATGTTTATATGATACTTTGGGGCTGGCAAGGTGTCTCAGTAGGTGAAGGCACTTGCCATCAAGCCTGACAACCTGATTTTTACTCCTGGGACCCATGTGGTAGAAGAGAACTGACTCCTGCAATTTGTCTTCTGACCTCCACTACAGCACCCACACACATACAGAAAATGAGGTATGTTTTTGTGTTTGAGCTACTGTAGTCACAGTGTTATCATAGCACCTGCTGTTAAGACACGGAAGCTAGCAAGTTGATCTGATCCACCAAGAACCGGTGTGGTGCAGTCATGCCTACCTCTGTGGGTCATGCTGAAGTGATCCTTGATCCTTGACATGTTTATAGAACGGCCTTTTGCAAGTGAATCTTTGTTAAGCCAGAGCTGGTGAAAATCTGTGTCAGGGCCTATGTCCCCGTGCACACTGGATTTCTTCTAACACGGAACCTAGTTTATTGAGAAGCCAGATAACTTTAAAACTATAAACATTGCTCTTCTTTTCAAAAAACGTGCCATTACAATTCATTTGATTGGTGGAGGGGGACACCGTGCAGCACTGTATCTATGTGGCGGTCAGAGGACAGCATACAGGGGTCACTTCTTCCAGGGATTGAGCTCAGGGTCTCAGGCTTAGCAGCAGACACCTTCATCCATAAGCCATCTTGCTGGTCTTGACATGTCTTCTTTTTAAAGTGAGGAGGACATTATTAATTAGCCACTAAATTTCAGAAATTGAGCCACTTTTATTTTATAAGGTATGAGGTCCTGAGGTTACATAAGCATTTTTTCCATGTAATTTTCTAGTGTAAACTCTGTTTGTTGATATTAAAAATATTGTACATTTGTTTATTTGGGGACATTGTGGGCACATATGTGCCACAATACACAAGTGGAGGTCAGAGGTCAGCTCTCAGGAGTCAGCTCTCTCCTTCCACCATATAGACTCCGGTCATTGAATTCAGGTTGTCAGACCTGGTGATAAGTGTATTCACCTGCTCAGCCAGCTTGATAGCCTTGAAATATCTTATTCTTGAATTGGAACAGTAAAACCAAGCTGTTTTATTTTATTAAATCACAGAACTTATTTGTATGTGCATGTGTGTGGGCGTTGCATACATAGACTGATCACACAACTTTATCCCTAGCCACCAACAGCCAAAATGCATGCCATCATCGAGCGCACAGCCAACTTCGTGTGCAAGCAGGGAGCACAGTTCGAGATCATGCTGAAGGCCAAGCAAGCACGGAACTCGCAGTTCGACTTCCTGCGGTTTGATCACTACCTCAACCCCTACTACAAATTCATCCAGAAAGCCATGAAGGAAGGACGGTACACGGTGCTAGCTGAGAGCAGGAGTGAGGAGAAGAAAAGTACGTGGGCTTGTCTCGGGGTGGGGTGGGCGGTGTGGAGGTATGAGGGTCCCATTCTCAGGAGCAAGACTGAAACACAAACTTGAGTTCCCCCACTGCTTCAAACTCACATCCAGCTCTCTGACCATGCTGGGAATAAAGGCCTATGCTGCCACACCCAGCCTGTGTTGCTTTTTGTTTGTTTATTTGTTTTGTTTTTCGAGACAGGGTTTCTCTGTGTAGCCCTGGCTGTCCTGGAACTCACTCTGTAGACCAGGCTGGCCTCGAACTCAGAAATCTGCCTGCTTCTGCCTTCCAAGTGCTGGGATTAAAGGCATGTGCCACCACTGCCCGGCTCTGTGTTGCTATTTAATATTTACTTATTTGTATTGTATGTGGGCCTGTTCTCACCATGGCGTATGTGTAGGGTCAGAAGATAATCTGCAGGAGTCATTTGTCTGCTTTTACCAGGTGGATTCTGGGGATCAAACTCACTGGCTCCCAAAGTCAGTCAGTCAGTCTGTCTGTTTGCTTAAGATTTATTTCTTATCTGGCAGACCGTAGTGATGACCTTTAATCCCAGCACCTGGGAAGCAGAGGCAAGAGAATCTCTTAGTTCAAGTCCAGCCTGGTCTACAGAGTGAGTTCTAGGACAGCCAGGGCTACATAGAAACCTAGTTTCAGATGGGGGGAACCTATATATTTACATGTATGTGTTTGTGTCTTTTTGAGTTTATGCCGCATCTGTTGGGTACCCGTGGAAGCCAAGGTTTTGAGTCCCCTGGGGCCAGAGTTACAGTCAGTTGTGAGCTTCCAGTATAGGTTCTCTGGAAGAACAACTAATATTCTTAACTGCTGAGCCATCTCTCTAGCCCCATGTTTATTTTGGTCTTTGAAACTGTGGCTAATGAACCCCAGGCTAGCCTTGAACTCTGATCCTTTTGCTTCTACTTCCCAAGTGGTAGGATTAGTTATAAAAGTACCCGTCACCAAGCAGAATTTTGTTAAATATGATCTTGATGAGCATATTTATAGAATATAGTGAAAATTTAATACATGTTAACAATTAAACCAAAATGAAGGATTTTGGGAGGTAGAGTTTCAGGCTAGTCCAGAGACTTATGGCTCTCCTCCTGCCTCTGCCTCTCGAATGCTGGGATTGCAAGTGTGTGCCATCAAACCCGATAATCAACATCTTGAATTCAATTCCAGAATCTGGGCCAACCTCTGACAACGAAGAGGAAGATGATGAGGAAGATGGGAGTTACCTGCACCCGTCTCTCTTTGCTTCCAAGAAGAGCAGCCGCCTGGAAGAGCTGATGAAGGTCTTTATCTCCTCCTCACTAGGCTGTGTTTACAGTGTCATGAAATTGCTGTTCCTTTACGTTTGAAAACACAAAGCCTGCCATTTCCTGGTACAGCTGTATCTTTTTTTATCACTGAGGTGTCTACGTTTCTCTGTTCCATGTGGTAGTGAAGCATTTGTTTTCCTACGTGCCTACATTACAGGTCTTGCAAGCAAACAATTGCTGTTTTATTATATAAATAGTGTCGGGGAAGATTTGGAAGCTGTTTTGTTGTGGGGATCGGAATTTAGTAGGATTGAATTTTCTAGGTTTTTTAAAGTGTGTGCTTCCTGAAGCCTTGGTTCCCTTCATAGACAGTTCCTAAATAGGTTCTTTCCCTTCTAGCCCTCCTCTCATCTTGATGAGACTGCCATTTGTGATATAGAAGACAGAATCTGTGAGGTTCTCCACAGTCACAGAGTATAGTTGATGCCTGGGAGGATTGTCTCTTGATTAAGGGGAGGGAGAGAGCTGTTGATGAGAAGCCCCACTGAGGAAGGAGAGAGTATGATGTTTGTGTGAGTGTGTCATGCACACTTTGGTGAGTTGCTGTCTGGTCTTGATGCTCCTCCGCTCTTTGCCTAGAAGTTGTTATGGAGATGAAACCCACTTAGCTCCTTTGGTCCTCACTGCCAGATGGAGCACTGACCCCAAGTGGGCAGGACCTCTGCGTGTGTCCCCAGCTTAAATAACAGTGGCTCTTGGCAAGAGTGTTTGGGTGTATGCTCTCAGGAGTGGTGGCATGTTCAGGGGAGGGATTGAGGATGGTGGTTTTCAGAGGTGCAGCAGGCAGGCTCAAGGCAAGTGTGCTTGTGGGAGTGCTCTTGTGCTCAGGCGTGGTTCTGACTCTGGACTCAGTTCTGCCTCCATGGCCTCCCAGCTCCTGTTGTTTTCTTCTAGGTCTGATGTCAGTGACTGCCTCTGCAGTGGCAGCTTTCACTCTATCTGAATGTGTCCTGAGGTATTCTTAAGGCATGCCCACAGTACTGTAAGGTTGAGTAACTTCTCAACAGCAAAGTTGTCCATGGTTCAGAACGTAGAAATGCTAAGACCACGTGTCTTCTCTGTCCTTAGCCCTTGAAGGTGGTGGACCCGGATCACCCTCTAGCAGCCCTTGTCCGTAAAGCACAGGCTGACAGCTCAGCACCAGCCCCACCCACTGCAGATGGCACACCTGCTCAGCCCTCCCAGGTGGAGTACACGGCCGACTGTGAGTACCCAGAGTGCCCTGTTATGTGTCCAGCTCGCAGCCGCCGCCCTTCACCTCATGCACTCCCTCATCACTCCCCAGAGCTCCTCTGTGGTCCAGGAGGGAGGGACCTGGAGGGCATGTTTGCCTGCCCTGTGACTCCACATTCCTGAAAGGATGAGTCAGGCAAGGATAGAAGAGTAAGCAGCAGCCAACCCTACTTCCCAAAGCCACAGTGACATCTCCTTTAGCTCAGGATTGGCTAGAGCAGCAAAGCCTGGGAAGTGGCACCTATGGCTCAAAACCTTGCTGTGCTGAACACAGCTCAGCCCTGTAAGACTGACAAGAGCGGAAACTGGGAAGATAGCACAGTGTTGTCTGTGCTGTAGAGTTGTTTGGTGCTCCGATAATACCCTGGTATCAACACAGGATTAGGCAGACAGTTTTGTTGAGAACAGCAAGCAGGGATGAGAAAATGTGGGGTCGTTTGTCACAGTTGCTGTGCATGGACAGTCAACCCTTTTTCTACAGGGCTTGGTTGGTTTCAGTGATATCCCTTGCCCCCAACAGATAGGAAAACCTAAGGTTTCTCTCACAGACTGGAGAATCCTGCCTGGAGAACTTGTAATACACTGTAAAAGCTATGTTAATAGTTGTTAATGTTGTATTGTTCCAAGGTATTGTGATAAGGAAAAACTGGTGCCTGTTTGATAAAAATGTACCGTTTCCTTTTTGTATTTTGAATCCAAGCTGCTTGAATAGTGCGTGTGGGACCTAAGAGTAGAGAGAGTTGGCTGTACCGTGCAGGGGATTATGTTTCTTTGGAATCTCATGATTGCTGCTCTCTTGTCTTTCTAAGCATTGAAGGGGAGCACTCTGGACAGTGATCAGAACATCTGTCCTAGGTTCAGTATCAGGCCTCACTGCTGTTCTGAGGCTAAGCATTGTGGGAGTGTGGTGTGAAAGAGAAACCTTCAGCAAAGAAGGGTCAGCCTGGCCTGTGGTGCCCTGCTGCAGATTGCTTTCCTCACGTGAACTGAGATGCCTGCAGGGTGGGCTCTTGTACTGAAGAGGGGGCTACCATATTGAGGATGAACAGTCTGTATATATGCTGGCTCCTCTGCACTTGTGTCTCCACACTGGTCAACACAGATGTGGCATTTGGATGTAATAAAGTAACAAGACTGTATAAAAGTCAGTTACTTGCCAGATGTGGTGGCACAGGCCTTTATAATCTCAGCATTCGGGAGGCAGAGGCAGGTAGATGTCTTGAGTTTAAGGTGAACCTGGGTTACCCTACTGAGACCTCATCTTTTTTTAAAAAAAAAAAAAATCAATTTCTGAGGGAACCTTGTGAGCATATCCTAGGAAAAAAGTTGGCTGGAACTTAGACCATTTCTTGAAATGATGAAATTGATCGTGTTGCGGGGCTATATGTTCTACGTCCTGCTGCATATCCCACAGCAGCAGTTATCCCTGCAGCACTTTGGCAGTTACTGCTGGCGTGCACGCTTGGGAAGAGGTGCAGAGCCTGCCTGTCCCATGCCCTGTGTAGCCTCAGGGAAAGCTCATGAAGGACCTAATCAGTGCAGCAGGAGGCTCTGCCAGACAGTCTGGTTGTACTCCATAGAGGGAATGGTGTGCTGGCACCCACCCCACCTCATGGACGCCTGTGACCTGCTTTTCTGGTTTTTAAGTGTGTGTTCATAGAGTTAGGGAGGTAGGTGTGTATGTGTTTGTGTGTGTGTGTGTGTGTGCATTTGAAGCTATGTGTGTACATGTGTGGATGTTGGGTTCCTTCCTGGATTGGATTATTCTCTACCTTACTGTTTTTGATTGGCCAGCAATCCACAGTGATCCTGCATTTACCCCCAGGAACAAGTCGCAGCACCCAGTTTGTACGTGGGTGGTAGGAATCCAAAGTCAGGCCTTCATGTTTGCACAGCAAGCACTTCACAGACTGAGCCATCCATCTTGTCCATCCCTCCATTTCTGTTCCAAGACTCAAATGCATTGTCTATTCATGTTCCTGTATCCTTTTATAGCCATAGAGGAGAGAGGTAGAAATTGGGAATAGTGAAACTCATTCCATCATTAAAGGGTGGACAGTGCACACAGAGGTCAGCTGTGGTACGCTGTGCCAAGACCCTGTGGCCCAAGCAGGATAGTGGAGCAAGCTGACTCATCCCAGCCCTGTGGTGACTCATCATGTGCAGTCCAGTGAGAAGAGTGGCCTGAGGCAAACTTTGCCAGTGTGGGATACCAGAGGACCATGCAGATTCAAGACAGGGCCCTAGGGCCCCACAGTCCTTCCTGTGGCTCTGAGGAAATCCTGGGCTTGCTGTGTTCTACTTGAGGGCTAGTCTTGCTCACACTGCCCTTGACCAAAAAGGACATTAGGCCTTGATGAGCTATCCTGGAATAAGGAAGAGTGGGCTGTTTAGATACCTGGAGGTGGTGAGAGCAGACAGATATCCATAGGGTTGGTGGATTTCAGATATGTTCCTTTTATCATCTGCAAGGACCACGGCCCTCAGAGCCACACAGCCCTGTGCCCAGGATCAAGAAAATCACTGGGTGCAACAGTGGACTCTGTAGTTTTTTACCACAGAGACAGGCTGGTGGCTAGAGCTTAGAATCAGGGTCTCAATGAAATTGCCCAGAATCGATCAGAAAAGTCCCAGCATCCTTGGCTGTGGGGCTGCTGCAGTTAGGAACAGTCTTGGTTTCTCCAGGGCTCCAGTTCTGCCAGGTACCTGCCTGGAACGCTTGCCTCCCTCCGTACTTTGTCTCTGTGGGTATCTGCTTCAGCTTGTTTCTCCTGGCTTATGGCTAGCTAGGCTGTTAGGGTTGCTTGAGTCCAGATTTCTGGCAAAGGCTTTGTCACCTGCCGTGAAGTGGCCAGAATATGGAATTTTTGGTGTTTCTTTGGCCCATTGCTGGTCATTTGGAGCCATGCTGGCTCTGCTCAATTGGGTGGAACTTGGTTTGTAGCCAACCATTAGGACAGCACTTAAATGCAGCCAAGTAGAGGAAAACTAATTGTGGCTGTTGATTTTAGTTCCTTTGTGGTGAATCCATCCACGTAGAGTGATTAAATTGCTTAAGTGTTAACAGAGAAAACTGCTGGGTCCTGTACAGAGTGTCAGCAGCCTTTCTCCCACTGTTCTTTTTATTTCCAGCATCTCTGTTTCCTTATGACTGTGTGTGTGTGACAGAGTGGTGCCTGTGGGGCCGGTGCTCTTCTACCTTTACTAGGGCCTGGGATAGAGCTCAGGCGATGAAGCCTGCGCAGCAAGCGCTTGGCCCACCAGCCCTCAGCTTATGGCCATCAAGTGGGTTTGACTGGTAAACTCTCACAGTTGGGTAATTGATTGTAATGTTCAGAACCTTGCCTACAGACAGTGGCTTATGGCTTATCCCAGTTTGTATCAAGGTTAAATCTAGCAGATTCTTTGGAGTTCCGTCTTAACCACAGTGTTCTAGAGAGGAGTGGAATGACACTTGAAGAGAGACTTGTGCATATGTGTAAATGATCACCATCATTCGATAACCTTGCTCCTGCCTTGGCAAGTGTCCACCAAGCCTTACTACTTAACCAACGGGACAGGAGCAGGGGAGCGCCTGTGACTGTGAGGCCTTGGGTAGCAATGTCAGGACTCACACAGAGTGAGTGTGACTGGTTTCTGTTACAGCTTGTCTGGCTGATAGAGAGGTTGACACAGAGGATTGTTAATATGAAAGATGTGCAAAGCTTCTGTGGTTAGAGGGACAGAGGGTCATGATGGCTCTCTAGGCCCATATATGCCCTGCTTATCTACTTTGTGTTTGTTGTACTGGTGTGCTAAACAGCCATTTGTCAGTACATGTGGATCCCCCTGTAGATAAAGGTCAGGCCTGACCTGCTCTTGTGCCCTCTTGCTTTACTCTAGGAATGCACAAGGCTCCCGGGTACTACTGAGTAACTTTTAAACCGTTAAGAAGAAGCCTGAAGATGTGGATCAGCAGTTAAGAGCACATATTACCCTTGTAGAGGACCTGAGTTTAGTTCCCAGCATGCATGTCAGGAGGTTATAACTCCAACTCCACGGGATCTGGCACCTCTTCTGACCTGTGCAGTCACAAACACACATAGAAACAAACAAACATACATACATAAATAAAGTCTGATGGCTTGTACCTCTAATTTCAGCACCTGGAAGACAGAGACAGGTAGATCTCTGAGTTCAAAGCCTACCTGTTATACACAGTTCCAGGCCAGACGGGGCTGCTGCACAGTGAGACCCTGTCTGCAGCAGACGGGGTGCTGTACAGTGAGACCCTGTCTGCAGCAGACGGGGTGCTGCACAGTGAGGCCCTGTCTGCATGAGTTGCCATACGTCTGCAGGCCTTGGTTTTCCCATTTGTACATACAGAATGGTAATTTATTATATTCTGAATGAAACATTGAAAATAGTTATTTCTATAGTATTCTAAGATTTCACATTGCAGTGATCAAGTAAAACCTACGGTGATTTGTGGAGGTCTTGTCTTGTACTGTCTTTCTTTTTTTCCTTTTCCTAGTTAAAAAATTCCCTGGTTATCTAAACAACAGTAAGGCAGAATATAAGAAATTTTAAAGGAAGTCTAAGCCGGGCAGTGGTGGCGCACGCCTTTAATCCCAGCACTTGGGAGGCAGAGGCAGGCGAATTTCTGAGTTCGAGGCCAGCCTGGTCTACAGAGTGAGTTCCAGGACAGCCCGGGCTACACAGAGAAACCCTGTCTCAAAAAACAAAACAAAACAAGTCTAATACAGGAGACATAACAAAATATGACTTTGCTATTGGAAGCCTATGAAATAGTTGATGCCTTAACAAAACAAACATACTGAAAACAGGTCTGCAGATGGTAGTGTGGATCGGACACAGACTTCAGAGAGCAGAGTCACTGTCACCAGGCTGACCAGCCCTGCCTGCTGGGCTTGCTCTGTATCTTTTTTACACGCACACACGCACACATTCTCATGCACTGTGAGCATATAC